TATTTTCTTTTGCATAATACAGACATCTCCCAAATAAACACACAAAACTTAAAAATTAATGCAGTAGTTCAGGAGAACAAATGATTCAAATTTGACAGCAGGACATTAAATAACTGATAAACGAACAAATGACATTATCTTTCAAAAAATTGTATGTATGATCCTCAGTCTTTCTTCATCCAGGAGAAAAAGAGAAGCAAGTGTGATTTCCATCTCAGGGTACAGAAAATGTGTTTTCTGTTTATCTATACTGAAAATGCTTACATATTTCTTCAGAGTTTCTTACAGTACCACAATTGTCCTGCACCAGCATGTGAATAAATGAACCTAGCTACCTCAGAGGTCTTTATAAAGTGCCATTACCACCCAATTTCAGGCACTGACCATGGGAATTCACTAAATATCAGGCATGTCACAAAGCCTGACATTTTCATGTTAAGTAAATGTAAAATCCTCACAGTCAAATCTGTTCACTGACACAGTAAAGAACACAAACCAATTTTATTGGTGGAACTGCTGGAGTCCAGCTGAAATATCCAAGAACAATGATGAATTCTTTCCATAACTTCTTTCAATGCAAGGCAAGAAACACTTCAACACAGATAAGCAGGCAATACTTAGACTGCCTGAGAAATCTAGTGAAATCAGTCAGTGGCTTTTTCAATTCTAAACCACAGGGTGAGAGAGGAGGAGGAAGTTAAATAAGGTGTGTAGCCATTTACACTTCTACAAGAGAAATCTCTGACATGAGTACATTTGGTCAGGCAAGCAACTACATACTGCACAGTCCTCACTCAAAATCCTGGGACTTGCATGTCTTACCCCATTCAATTCACACTTAAACCCAAAAATTAAGATTGTTTTTTACTCTTCTCTCCCACTGCACTTCACATCAGATCCATGAAGAAGACTTAGTGGTTTTGTCATTCTCCCCGAAGTACACATGTAGTAAGTAAAAACAGTGCTGCCAGACACTAACAGGTAATGATAAACCAATCACTGACTTATTCCTTGGAGTAACAACTCTGTAGATGCCTTCCTGTAAGTTTTCAGATTACATTTTAATGCTGTTATTGTAATGGCAATTGCCACATGTCAAGTCATGATGTGAAAAGGCATCTAGCCTGAGGATAATGACAGTGCTCACTGCTCCGAAACACCCAAAGACTTCTCACAGTCATGGTGAGTCTGTGACAGATAAGTAATTACTGTTATTATTAAAATGAAGTTAAATATTTGTATGAAATCTAGAACAACTGTAACCTCTTTTACTTCTCTGCACAAAAAAGGCTGGATACTCTTTCCGGGGTGTTCCAGCTTGCCCTCCTTCTCATCTTGTTGACAGCATAAAAGTTATCGAGTCTTTCAAAAATTTAATCATACCCTATGTTTGGCAACTTCCCACTAAAGTGGATTTGATGTCCAAACAGCAGAATGCATAAAAATTCTGCTATATAGAAAAAACATATTTAGTAACTCAAGGGAACAAGTGCTCTGAGCAAATAAAGATATACTTCCTACTTCATGAACATGCAAGATCAAAGATGGGTTAATAGCCAGAAAGGAGAAATATTCTTACTCTCTTAAGTTTTTAATTTAATAATCCCCACCACCCACATCAGAAAAAAAGATTCAAAAAGTGCTATTCTCAGCTGCATGGGGGCCTATAAGGCTTTTTTAATTCATAAGCTTTCTACAACAGAATAGTTGTTTAAACATGGGAACCTCGGCTGAATTCTCTCTTCCTTGGGCAAACCTTAAAAAGAAAGCAAACCCTCCTATCCATCCTTCAGAGTCCTCATTCTCACCAGCAAACTGAGCCAGCAATAAAAAAACCAACAACCTAACAACATGGATGAAGTAAATCAGAAATACAAGCACTCCAAACTATAAATTAAATACCAGTCAGGGCTTTAAAAAGTTTGGTAGGCATGGAAATTGTGACTCTTGAAAGTCAGGAGTTACAATAATACCTGAGACATCCAGAAGGCCAATGTGGGCTTTGATAAACCTCTGTTAATATAGCTAATTCAGTGAAAGACACAGAAAACAAGAATATTTTGCAACTGCCCTGATCTTCACACTTCTGTCATGAATAGTTTTCATTCTTGTAACATTACACAAGGGACGCATTAGAAAAGTAACAATATTAGCACAGACTCCAGATGCTCCTCTTTCCCATGAATGTACTGCTGGAGTGTTTAATGTTCATCAAGCTCATACTTGCTTAAGTCACAACCCAAAATCAAGAAGACAAGCTTCAAACAATGGAAGAAGAATGTCTCTGCAGCCTACACACTCATTACCTGAGATTTATAACTCAATGAAAACATGCCTTTTTTTCTCCCATGAGTTTGATCCTGTTTGCACCAGGCAATAATGTAAGCTTTTATTTTGTACCACTGGCAACAAATGGGAGGGTGGTTCCTCACAATAGCAAAACTTCACTTTTGGAGAAAAATACAAACAAAAAAAAAAATAAGAAGGACCTTTGCCCAGCTCCTTGCAATGCTGTATTTTTACCCTCATTGACAAAAAGCAGCCAATACCTGGAATGTGGAGAGCAGAGCAGGCACACAACCACAGGGTGGTTGCAGCTACTACTCACAGGATGGCCCTCCTCAGGCAAATTCTCCAGATGAAAACATCTCACTATGTCCTGTGTGAGACATCAGCTAAAATGAAGCAGTACTCACACAGCTGGAAGATGCTACACTCGTAGAAAGGGAGAGGAATTCTTAGAGGCGCCCTTAAAGTTAGTTCTATAGCTAAATGAGAGGGTGTTTTAACACTTCCTGGATTTTATGCAAAACTGTATTAACTTGCAGAAAACTGACAGCCCCTGCTTATTCAATTTTACTCACTTGTCTTCTGCAGGCTGAACAGTGGAGAACAGTGAAGGTATCATTTCAGCTGAAATTTACACCCAGAAAACACTAACGCTTGTTGACTAATATACTGATGTTAGTTGTGATCACATGCACCACAGGTAAGAGAAGAGACTTTAGAAGGTTATTTTCACTGCTGTGAATTACACTGCTATAAAAGCCTGAGAAACAGCACACTGGGCAAATTCTAAAGCTTTACATGCTCCACTAAACCCTTTTCCAAGGCAGAAGCCCTATGCCTGTACACCAGCATCTGACTGTGAAGTCTCAAGTCCCAGTCAATCTCTGGACTCTGAGCAGACCTGTCATCCTCCAAGCACAGCCTTCCACCTATTTTTCCCTTTGCAAAGTAAGACCCTAAAAACACCTCTGGGGTAAAAGGAGTCTTTCAAGTGCTTGCCTAAAACTAGGGAAATTTAAGGTACTTCACTGTTGCTGTTGAACACTTCTCAACAATATGCACAGAGTGATACGGAAGGCCTAAAAAAAGAATGGTACAAGCAGTCAGAAAGCTGGCTATGAGCACTGCATGCTTCTTTTTCACATCTAGCTGGGTTGGTTTTGGCAGAACTACCAGTAACACCACAAGATTCCAGCAAGCGAAAGGGAACAGACCAAAAGCAGTCCTGGAATGCTACATGGCCAACTTAGGTTCATCCCATTCTGCCTGATTTCACAAAAAAACTGTTTGCAACATAGTCATCCCTGGCATTAAAGTAAAAGTCAAAATGCTGAACACAGGGAGTTCTGCACAAGCATACAAGCTGCCTTTTTATTATTACTTATTTATTTTCTTTCTTTTTGCACATAGTACCTCTGAGGACATATCCTTGACTGAAAAACATGTTTCATTAAAATTTGTCAGGGTTTTTAAAATCCCCCTACCTTCCAAAGGGGACTTCTGCACCTGCTCAGAGCTGCTTATAGAATCAAAGAGTTTTTTTAATTTGTCTTTCAGAGGCTCCCAAAAAAAGAGCTTCACCTGCCATGCCCTTCCTTCCTTCCTCCTCCTCCACCACACAACATGTGCACCCTGGTTCAGGCTGCAGCAGGTGAAGCAGGATAAGAGCTTTCTCTGGAAGTGCTCTTCCAAATGGGATCTGCTAGGACGAACAAGCGTGGTGCTCTCTCGTTTTGCTTTGCACGTGTTTTCCTACTACAGTTCAAAGCAACTAAAATGTTGAGCTGCAATTCCTCACCTCTTTGAGTACAGCTATATACCCAAGCCGAGATCCCCACTAGTAAGAGACCAAGCTCTACTCTGGACTGGTAGCCGTAAAGTTTGTGGCAGCACGGGCAGCCTTCGCTCCGTGAGCCCCCAAGCCCCTGCGGAGCGGCGGCAGGAGATGTGCGGTGAGAGCAGCCAGGATGCTGCCCAGCCATCCCTTAGGCAGCCATGCGGGTCAGAAAGCACCTCACTGCTGCAGGGCACAGCCTCACGCCCGAGCCCAGCACGCCTCGCCGGGATGAGCAATCCCTGCCCGCGACCCGTTATTCAAACGGGGAAGCACAACAAAGCCTGGGAGCAGCCCTGCACCGCCAGCAGGGCTACCCGGCCAGGAAGCAGAACACGCTCCCGTCCTCCCCGCAACTACCGAGGGAACCCAACACGTGCTCGGGGGGCCGACGGGGCCGCGCTCGGCGCCGCCCGCCCGGCTGAGCGCTGCCGCGCCCGAGACGGGCAGGCCCCCGGCTGCGCCGTGCCCAGACCGCAGCCGGAGATTATCGCGGCCGCCGGGTTCGCCTCGGGAGACCTCAGCCCACCTGCGAGCCGGGGCTGCCCCGGCCGGCGGTGCTGACAGCCGGGCCCGCGGGGGCGGGCGGCAGGTCGCGCCTGCACAGTCACTGCCGGCAGCCGACGGCGCAGCGGGGCAGCGCCGGCCGCCGCTTCCCTTCGCCGCTCGCTGCCTCCCGCCCGCCGCCGGCGCGCCCGGACGCTCCGGGAGCCGCGCTCGAGTGCGAGCCGGGCACCTTTAGCCGGGGCTCGGCACTGCTGAGCGGCCGGGCGAGGTGAAGCCAGCGGCGCTATGTCCGGCGCCTTCCTCGCCGGCGGGCAGCCCGGCGCCGCGCCTCCGGCGCTGCCCTTCCCCCTGTCCCCGCCCGGGAGCTCACCAGAAAAAGAGCCGGGAGCAGAGGTTGGCATCCTGCAGCGGGTTAGGCTTCTCCTCGCGGGGCACCGGCTCCATGCCGCCCGCCATGCCGCCCCGACCCGCCCGGCGTGCGGCGAGGGCGCAGGACCACGAGCGACTCCCGCGGCTGGCAGGCTCCGCCGCCGGCCGGCGCTGTTTCCGGGAGAGCCGGCACCCCCGCCTCGGCCCTCCTCCTCCTCCTCTTCCTCCTCCTCCTCCTTCTGCCGGCCGCCGCAAGACGCCTCCTGCCGGCCCGGCTTCCCCGCGGAGCCCGAGAGGTGCCGGGCAGCGCCGGGAGCCGCTCCGCTGGGGCTGGCTCAATGCGGACCGAGCCTCCGCCGGGGGGCTCTGCTCCGCTCGGCCCGGTTTCGCGCCTGTGTGTGCCCCATGCTGATGGAAAGCATCTCCTCGGTGCACGCAGCGCCAAGCGAGGTGCCCACCCGGCTTTTTTGGACAGAAAAATCCGCCGCGAGTTAGGAACGAGTGAGGGCCAAGTCAGGCTTAGCGGGACCAAACGCCGTCAGAAATGCTGTCAGCGCTTCTTCCCAGATGTTGCATATTCTTCTATTAGAAATCGGAAACCAAACCAAAAGAACAATGTTTAGGAGAGGCTGGCGATACATAATAAAGAGCTAATTAACTTCAGGACGTGGTGCAACACTGAAATTGGCAGTTCTCAAAGGTTCAGCAAGTGATCACCAAATTCCCCTCCAGTCATGTCACCTGTGGTCTGCCAAAGGGACCCTGATGAAAGGAGTAGCAAAAACTGCAAGGAAAGCAGAAAATACAGGACATGTACCTGAAGTAACCAAAGAACTGTTAATCTCTATGGCAGAATGATTCCCTGCCATGCTGTTATTTCTCTGCAGTCTCTAAAATCCAGGATGGCTGAGGTTGCAAGAGATGTTTGGAGGTCAGCTGGTCCAACCCCTGCTGCTTAAGTGCCGTGCCAGGCAGCTTCTGAGTATCTCCAAGGATGGAGACTCCACAGCCTCTCTGGGCAACCTATGCTAGTGCTCAGTCACCCCCACAATGAAGAAGTGTTTCCTGGTGTTCCTGTGGAGCTTGCTGTGTTTCAGCTTGTGCCCATTGCTTCTGGTCCTGTCACGGGGCACTACAGAGCAGAACCTGGCTCTGTCCTCTTTTCATCACACTAATGAGAGCCCTCTGAGCCTAGTCTTCTCCAGGCTGAGCAGTCCCTCTCAGCCTGAACAGCTCTCTCACCCTTTCCTCACAGGAATGGTAACTAGAGTCCTTTCATCACCCTTGTGACCTTTCACTGCAGTCTCTCCAGTATGTCCATGTCCTTCTTGGACTGGGGAGCCCAGAACTGAATGCAGGACTCGAGGGGTGGCCTCACTTCTGAGTTGAGAGGAAAGATCACCTCCCTCGACCTCCTGGTAAATACTCATTCTAATGCATCCTAGCATATCATTAGTCTTCTTTGCCACAAGGACACATTGCTGGCTTATGTTCAACTTGGTGTCCACCAGGACCCCATGCTGGGGTGGCCCCCAGCCCGTACTGATGCCTGGGATTGTTTCTCCCTGGGTGCAGGACTTTGCTCTTCCATTTTTCAAACTTCACAAGGTTCCTGTCAGCCCATTCCTCCAGCCTATTGAGGTCCCTCTGGATGGCAGCACAAGTCTGTGGAGTGTTATCAGTCACTGATCAGCCACACCTCCCAGTTATGTGTCACCATCCCTGGTGGTCTTTAAGGAAAGACTGGATGTGGCACTTGATGCCACTCCTAGTTGACAAATAGTGTTGGGCCATAGGTTGGACTCAATTATCTCGGAGGTCTTTTCCAGCTTAATGGATCTGTGATTGTGTGATCATCAGTAAACTTGCTGAGGCAGTCCTCTGTTTCCTACAGATCATTGATGAAGGTGTCAGATAGTTTTGAACCTAATGTTAACACCTGATGTACACCACTAGTTACTGACTTCCAACTCGATTTTGAGCAACTAATCACAACCCTGATCTCCTAGACTCCTTCCCACTCTGAGCCAGCCACAAAACAAACACCATTCTTATGTTCTGTGTATTCCTTTCATGTCCACAGGAGCAACCAACCCTATCTCTTCCTGCTTAAACGTATGGACAGTGAAACTATTGACAGGGATGGCATCTGGCTTCAATTATACACATCAGAGTTGACATGTTGTTGAGATAAAAGAGGGTTGGGGCTACACTACATTATTGAATAAATAGCATCAGTCCATGCTTGAAGGAATGTCATAACCATATGTCAGACAAATCCAGCTTGAGCTTGCTGTCAATGGGCACTGATGGGGCTGGAAACAGCCTGTGCTGCTCATGCATAGATGGTGTGCCACAGAATTTCATGAACAGTAAGTAGTAAACCTGTCAACAGCTTTCTCTAAATCCTCCCAAATAAAAACAAAGGGAAAAAACTTGTGGAAATGATGCAGTGGTTTGAAAGGGCAAACTTTAACAAAATAGTCCCTATATATTCCAGAATCTGGATAATAAATTTGAAGAACCTCCCAAAATTTGTGAAGAAAAGCTCTGCCCATCAGCAAAATTTGACAGGTTTAGATTTCTGTGAGACAAATTTGTCTAACTAGATACTCATGAGTGAATTAAAAGGTATGAAAGCATAGTGCAAGCCCCAAAGTGTCAATAAAGATTGGGTCAGGGAGAGAGAGAAAGGAAAATAGAAATCTAAAGGCTGACTTCAGCTTTGTGAAGTAGTTGTGCAATGAAAGATTACCCAAACGTTTCTTAGTTTGGGGAAGGAAGTAGTAGATTATTCATGAACAAGTAATTAATTTTCAGAATGCAGGTAAAAGTATTAAAGCAAAATATTAAAATAACTTTTTCAGTATTACTGTGATGATGGGAAAAGGACAAAAAGCAATACTCAAGCAATAAATTTTTCAGTTGCCATCTTTATAACTGATGAATGCTGACACCACTTAATGTTGAAATATATGTTAGTGTTTGCTCCTAAATCCAAAATAAAACACTTCCAAAAAAGTTTTGGAGAAGAAAAAACTAAAATGGAAAGGGAAAATAAATCCTGAAAGCCAGATTAACCTGTAATTCTATCTGCTGAGTGTGCAATTAGAAGCTAATGCAGTGATAAAAAAGTGTGAAACAATTGGGCAAAGAAGTGCTCACAAAAACCTGAGACTGCCTATGGAGAGGAAAGGGAAGGGAAAAGAGCACAGTAATGAATTTAATGATCCCCTTTCTATTTTAGGAGTCAGAAAAAGCAACTACCAATTTATGCATTGAACATTTTGCTATGGCAACACTATTTTCACCTGGAGAGAACAAGATATATAACAAACTAATCAACATGTGACTTAGTAAATTTAAATTATCATAGTCATATGGATAATGATCTAGCAAAGCCAACTATTTAAATGGGGAAATAGCCAAATTAAGGCAGTGACAACTTAGTTAAACTTGTTATGCATATACATTGTTCTGGGGAAATAAATTCAGGTCACAGGGGATGTCACAAATGTGCAAACAGATGAGATTCACTATTTATTCAGTGCACAAGAAAGGCAGTAGTCACCAAGTAAGCATTTGGCCTTATGCCTTCTTTACTGTCTTTTCACTTTGAATACAGTCAGACTAGTAAGTATCTCCATCTACATTTTTAGGGCACTTGTCATTAGGGAGTTCATAGACATCCACTTCTCTCAAAACCCTTAGAAGATTACTGGGCAGTTTCCACTGATATCCAGATGGCAAATAAAACATGGATCTTGAGGTGAAATGTAGGCACTGATGCCTGTTATGGAAAAGGAATCTAAAGCTGACTGCTGACATTACATGCTGATGACCTGCCTGTTCCCTCAGGACTATAGACACTCTTTGCACTTGGATGTGAAGCCTTCAGCCCATAGGAAATACAATGAAGTGCAGAATACAGAATGCACATCCCTGAGGTAACATGGAATACTATAAACACATCTGGTTTTTATTCTCTTCTATGTCTTCCATAAACTGTTGTTGAATGCAAGATCTCAGTTCTTGCCTCCAAGTGCACTGTTGCTTCTTCTCAGAGATCTAAATAAATGCCACAGCAACCAAGGTAAACATCTTCCCACGACAGAGGAAGTAGAATGTCCCTCTGTAAGAGTAAGTTTCCCTCTGTGGGAGACAATTTTCAACCTTGGTTTGTCTGAGGCTGAGAAACAAATAGTCATGGAATGGGAGCACTAAGGAAGACTTCACTGCCTTCACCCCTAACAGCAATATACATTACACCAACCTTTTTTCTCTAACATAAACACAGCTGTGAGCATATTAGCTTGAAGCCGCACAAACCGAAACAGATCAAGAGCAAGAATAAACATGACATTTAACCTGTTGCTAGAAGATACCTAGATGCAACAGTGATTAAGGTGTTGTAAGACTCTGCACGCAGGAAAACATAGACTTGGTGCCTGTGAGTCAGTATTTACAAGCATTTGAGTCACAGAAGCATTGAATCATTTAGGTTGGCAAAGACAATTAAGATCACTGAGTCCAGCTATTACCTAAGGCTGCCAAGGCCATCACCAAACCATGTCCCCAAGTGCCACGTCTACGTGTCTTTTAAATACCTCCAGGCATGATGGCTCAACCACTCCCCTGGGCAGCCTGTTCCAGCGTTTGACAGCTCTTTCAGTAAAGAAATTTTTCTTAATATCCAAAATAAACCTCTCCTGGTACAACATGGGGTCATTTCCTCTTGTCCTATCACTTGGGAGGAGAGACTAACCACCACCTCACTGTCAGGTAGTTATAGAGAGCTATAAGGTCTCCCCTAAGCTTTTTCTTCAGAGAAAACACTTCATAGTGTTTCGGCTTAAACTTACCAGATAAAGGAAGATTTTAGCACCAATTATTATATTAGAAATCTTGTAAAACTCTGACTCACAAAATGCATTTCTGGTATGTAGCCCACCTGTGCTTGAAATACCCCAGAGAAGTGTCAGGCTGCCAAGAAATAATTAAGGAATAAGGGCCACGCCCAGTGGTGTGTGGATAGGATTGAGGAGGCCAAGGATATGTGGACAAAAAAGTTGCCTTTTGGGAGTTCTGCATTGGCAGGTAATTGGTGTTCTGCTGACAACTGTGCCCAGAAGCGTCAGAGCAACTTT